CTACTGTGCATCAGGCATGATTCTCCTTGGTTGTTAGGATAGACAGGTCCTCAGGCTTCATGGAACTGACATTCTAGTGAAGAAGGCAGATGAAGAAGTGGGGGCTCTTGTTTTATATAATTCGGTAGTTGGGAAAAGCTTCTCTGGTGTTTTGAGCAAAGACCTGAGTGAACTGAGAGAGCGAGCCACGCAGGTACCTAAGGGGGAGCATGACAGACACAGAGAATAATAAGGCAAGGCCCCTGAGGCAAGAGGATGTTTGGAATGTTCCAGAAACTTACGGGGAGGGAGCATAGCTGGAGCTCAGAGGATGAGAGGAAAAATGGTAGTAGATAGAATCCAAGAGGGGGATGGAGTCAACTGACCATGGAGGACCTTAGAGACAACAGTAAGGACTTTGAACTTGAATTTAAGTGAGATTGAAAGCCATGGAGGGTTTCTGAGATGAGGAAGAAGTAATGTGATTGACTTCTATTTTTAAAAACATCACTCTGAGCACTGTATGAAAAACAGACCACGCACGCGCATGTGTGTTTCCACCCAACTCTTCTGTTTGCTCTTTGACAACAGGAACCTAATTGTTAATCCCTCAACATGCACTGTCTTCCTGCACCCCAGTGCCCAGTCCCTCAACCTGCAACACTAGGACCAAGCTCTGGCCCATCCTTCAGTTCTCCAGGCAGATGCTGCATCCCATGGACAGCTCCCTTATAAAGGAACTGGGTGCTCAACACCACACTCTACTTTATACCCTCTTCTGTTTTAAGTATTGATTTCAATGATTCTCTCCCCATGAGACTATGAGCTGCCTAAAGGAAAGACCACATCTTTCTGATGTTTATTTCCTCAGACCCGATTATGATGCTTGGCACCTGGTGCCTGGTCCTCCATAAATATTGGATGCCTGAAAAAATAGGTAAATCAACATACTCATACAAGGTAATTCTACCAAATTTCAAGCAAAGCATCAAAGAATATTCCTTTGGTCATTCATAATATCTAGAGATGGGAGGCACTAAGCCAACAAATTCATAAAACACTGGCTCACTCGGGTGTGACTGCAGAAGTAGGAGTGAGCCAGAAAACAAGATTACAGGGGTATGGTAGACACAATATTGACAGTGCCTGGTGTAGGGGTAGGAGCAGAAAATACCAAGGGTGCCTGCCTTTCCCAATGGGGCTGGAAGAGTCTCTGCTCTAGGAGGTCTAAGCAGAAGGAGAGTTTCAGGGAAATGAGAATGATGTCACTTGTGTGTGTGCTGCTGTTGAGGTGGGTGTGGAACAAGCAGGTGGAGTTGTGGAGGTGTCTACTAAGGAAAAAATACAGTTCTAGACTCATCAGAGTTTCGTTGTATAATTTCAGTGTGAAAATAAGGAGTCCGGAATGAAAAATAGTAGTTGGTGCCAAAAATTTAGATAGCAGCCAAGAAAGGTGTAGAGGATGAGAAGAGCATAGAGGCAAGGATGTAGGATGGAGTTATGAGGAATCCTGGCAGGAACCCATGAAGAAGGAGACAGGGCACCTAGGCTCGGGGGGCAGCTCTGTGAGCCTAGCAATATGTTTTACAACCTTGGGCCCAACACTACTGCTGCAGATAGCCAGAGGGGGGGAAAGAAAGTCCAATGAAATCTGCTTTCCCATTAAGGACATGGCTCAAAAATTACACACATTGCAAATACTCAAACGCCATTGACCCAAACTTGGTCACATGGATGCATCTACATGCAAGGGGTTCTGGGAAATGTAGTCTGTCCCTGGGCTAGTATGTATGTGCACAGGTAAAACTTGGAGAATTCTAATACAGAAGGGAAGAAGAGGAGATGGATCCTAAGAGACACAATTTGATTTTCAGATTGCGTTACCTACTTTGCTGATACCTATCTCACCAAAGCAAAGCGTATTTTGACTCGCTAAAATGGAAAAAGAAAAAGAGGAAATTCTGAAACCTAAAGCTTCAAGTAAAGGGCAGGTGTGGGCGGGATGCTGGTGGAGAGGTAGCTTTGGTGAGGATGTGACAGGTATGCTATGATGAACACAGGCTGGATGACACTGAGGGAGACTCCTACCCCCACCACTTACCCAGGCAAGTTTCTCACCTGCCCCCGTCCCAGTCTTCCTTCACAGGGTCACTGAGAGGCTCACGAGATTCAGCGCGTGCGATGCCAAGCAGAGGGCCCTGCACCTAGTGAGAACTCAAACTGATACTCATTTCGTTTGTTTCTTCCCATTTTTCAAGTGCAGAAGAAGGACATGTCAAGAGATGAAAAGAAGCTCAAGAAAGAAGGTGGCTGGACACCACAACACTTGGCCTACTTTACCATGTTGCCTGCAACCCTGATGTCTAAGCTTATAGGGAAATTATGCCGCAATGCCAGGTGCACACCAGTGCCTCCCGTGGGGTCTCCAGAGGCAGCTTGAAGGCAGGGAAGAGTTGGGAAGTTTCCTCTAGAGCAGCCCTGGCAGGCAGCCCAGTTCCAACACCAGCAGCTGCTGGCTGCTTGCACAGGCTGGCAAGGAGCGAGTTTCCTTTGTCTCATTAGAGCAGCAACAACACAGGCATGCTTCTAAAGGTCAGGTAATGCTATATTTATAAGCCACCTGCATCTGCTCCCCTATGAGGAAGTGGTACCTGAAAGCCACCTAGCAGCCCCACCCTCTCAGAAAAACATGCTGCCTCAGGATACGAGATGAACTGTCTTTGATATTTGACCTTACATCAAATGTAAGCTGTTTCACAACAATGACAGTTTTAATCCTTCGTGGCAAATGTTTCACCCGTGTGTCTTACAAAACTCAGGGGACTTCTCCCCTAAGCTGTTCACTTAATCATTAGGCAGAAGTTACCTGGCATGTCTGCCAGAACAGATGGTTACCTGGAGAGGCTACCAGGAGTGAAAAACCTGTCTCCCCTCCATCTCCTCTCCAGCCTCTACCAACTGTTTGGCCAGAGTAAAAGATGCAGAAGAGAAGCAGGAGGTCTTGGTGTTGCCTGGAGCTGGGCCAGTAACAATGAGTCCAGGTGAACGATAGACAGGAGCAACCACACATCCTAGACCACGGATAGGAAGTGAAGTTGGCAAGAAGAGAAACCTCTCTTGGTTAGTTTTCAAGATCTTATGTGTGAACAAATCACTGTTATTACTTTAATCATAAATATATTTCTGTTAGTTTATTCAAGTGAAAGTATCTAGAGAAAAATATCTAACTTCAGTTCTGTTCTAAAACTCAAGGCCATTTCCCATGGAGAGAAGAAAAAGAAGAAATGGTAACAAAAAAATATCTTGCTTCTGTGCAAAGCTTTAGAAGGGATTTCTAATCAGAAATTTGAAGTACTATTTCTTTTCCTCTATCAAAATTTCCAGCTGAGGTGAAAAAAACACACACACACATTTAAAACAAAGAGCAAGAGAATTTCTAAATACAGGCCTAATGTTTTGAAAACAACTGCACCAATATAACTTAAAATGAGTCGGACTTAAGTAACAACAAAAGGAAAGTCAGAAAAAGTGTTGTCCAAATAGACATAATGTTCCAGAAAATTGGACTTCATTTGCATGCTTGGCATCCTTCTGCCTCTGAAACGAGGTACTTTGGATGCTTCTGCAAGGCATCTCAGAAGCAACCTGTGCTGGTTTCATTTCCAATGTTTCATATTTATGCTCCACTGCTCACTTCCCACTGTTTACTAAACAGTTTATGATAATCCCACATTTATTACAGTTTTTACAACAGAGCCATTTCACAGCACACATCTCTCTGTAACAGAACTCCCCATGGGAAGCAAGTCAGAAGCCAATCTTGCAGCTCCATGATCTCCCCCTGTGCTGCATCGCTCAATGAAAACAGGGCCAACTACCACTTCCACTCAGAATAGCAGGTCTCAAGGTAGGAATAGGCAGCATTTGCTTTAAAACTAAGAATTTTAAAGAATAAGTGGAAATGGACAAAGGGCACAAAAAACAAAGAGGGTACCACCCAATAGCAACATTTCAAATCATCCAAAGTCCATGGATTCAGGTCAGCAAAGCAGTTATGCTCAGCCGGTCCTAACACGTTGAGTTGGGAACGAGGAAGAAAGTTAAATGGATTGCTCTGAAGTTAGAAAACTGGGCTTCAGAGTCAGGGACCCCCAAGTCTAATCTCAGCTCCACTAGTTATGTAGAACTCAGGCAAATTACTTAACTTGTCTGAAGCTGTTTCTGGAACCATGAAAGATGCCTATGATCAAGTTCATGTGCTTGTACACTCAACAAGTGCTTAGTGTGCTGTTGGCACTCAGTGAGCTCAATACATGGAAACTATCATCATCACTATCATCACCATCATCTTCATCTTTATCACCACCAACATCATCATCACCACCATCATCATCATCACATCACCACCACTGCCATCATCATCAAATGTAAGTTCCATGAGGTCAATGATTCAATGATTTTTGTCTACTTTTGGTCAGTGCCTAGCACTTAACAGTCACTCAATAAATATTTGATGATTTGTTAAAATAAAAGTATGATACTTTTCAGAATCAGGATGCTTTCTGTCACCTAGCCCACAATTTTGTAACACCTTCTCCAAATGGCACCTCACAGCCTTGGTAAGAGGCCATATTGTCCATTTGAAAATAACTGTTGTTAAAAGACCTATATTCTGCTGTTTTTCATTTTTCACATGGATAGCAACCACTATAATCATCTTTAAAACTGAATCAACACATCTGCCTTGACATCTTTTCATTGCTTTGAAGACGCTATAGCTTTTACTTTGGATGTGTCTACAAGGCAAACAATCAAAGAAGGTCCTGATATTTGTGCTTCATTCAAAGTTAAACAACCATGTAGTAAATGATAGTAAGTAACTGCCTTTATTTATAATTTCCCCTCAAAGTATAAATGCTATCAACTTGAATAAGCCAAAAAAAAAAAAAGAGGCCATGGTCAGGTGACCGGGTGTATAGGATTTTGGTGTATTGAGAATTTCCAAAAGCTGCATGCGTTACCTTTGCAGAATGCTCCATGGTGACCACAACCTTGGTTTTGGCACTGGACACCAGATCCATAGCACCTCCCATTCCTTTCACCATCTTCCCCTGCAAAATGGAAACAGAAAATAAGAAGTAATTCTCTAACTTTCATTTCTTTAGTATGCGGCAGAACAAAAGTAACTTGCAAGAATAAGCCACTGGAATAATTAATGAGGAAAAAAATAGCATTGACCTTCATTGCTTAGTACATGAAGGTTTACAACCTTAATATTCCGTTTTTCTTTCATTTTAAACACATAACCGTCACTACTGAGTCTTTAATTATAGACCCTTTCCAAAGCTCTCCCGTGGATATTGTGTAGAATAAAATGCCATTCGGTGGTAGCCTGAGACACTTATGGTGTCTCCCTAGTAATGAGTAATATTAAAGGTGGGTCTGTCTTTCTAAAATGACATTTATCTTGCTCTTAGAAAAACAAACCAAAGCGAAATGAAAATAGATTCCTGCTCAGCAAAAACAGAAAGCAGGCACAGAGTTCAGGGTCCTTTCGCCATTACCACTCTATTTTTGTCCATCTGTCCATGTCCTCATTCATTAAACATTTCGCAACCACCTGGCATGTGCCACACTCTGAATAATTCCCACTGTCTTCTCTCTCGTAGTTGCAGATTTTTGAAAAAAGCAAGTGTTTCCAGAGATGATGAAATAAATCTGCAGTCTAGTATATAGAGGAGAATGTCTTCTAAGATTGAAAACTCCTTAATATTTTATTTATTTTTTACCCCAAGTACTTTTGCTGATTTGACAGTAAACACTTCCAGGGCTCTCAGCTCTGTTCCCATAATTTCGTAGCTATAAGGAGATTTAGCAATGCACTCACACCTGGTTTTAAAACAGTCTCAATCCCCTGCTTTCAGAAATATTTTAGAGGTCAATGCACCATGGCATGAACGTGAATTAGATGTGCAGCATAAAGGGGAGGAGCAAGCAGTCGGGATGTTTTCATAGTTAGGAGCCACCACTGCATGAGCTGGGTAGCAGCTGGCAAGGTGTTGGGGGTGGGAAGCAGGAAAGGAGCGGAAGGTACAAAATAAGTCTTCAGACACATGTAAGTTTGAAGTGAAGCCGAATCCATGTGGAAATGTGTAATTTTATACTTCTATCAGCCATGCCTTCATCCCTAGTCATCTGCAATTTTACTATGTTTGGCACCAGGTCATGCTATTTCTGAGGACAACACTGATACCTCATGGAATGACTCATGGATAAGTCAGAGAGGGAAGCAATAAATGTCTAGCATAAACTCCAACACTAAGGAAGTTTGAGACTTTCAAAGCATCAAATGACACAAAAGTAAGTCCATTTTCATATGTCTCAACCTGCTGTGCTGAGAACATCCGGCCAGTCTCAGCTTCCACACACTGTGTCCTTGGGCAGGCTCTAGGCGTGTAAGTGCTAGAAGAATGATGAAGCCAAAAATAATTAATAATAAAATAAAACCCAGAAAACCAAGCTAGTGTGTTAAAAAGTCCTTGCGTTTAAAAAAAGCATTCCTGAATGCAAATATACCACAGGCAAATGTCGTCCCCCATGGCACAATGAATATAGTAGAAACTTATGAAAGCCTCAGACTCTGGCCAGTTTAGGTGAATCTGAATTACACATTTTAAACCGTTGTCCATTATTTCAGAAATAGTTACAGAGCGCCTACTGGGTACAAACACTGTGCTGGCAGGAGTACAAGGAGCTCTAAAACATGGTGGGAGAAATATTTTGTTTCTGTTAAAAATAAATTCTCGTGTGACCCAAGGTGAATGCACAGCCCTCGTTACTCAGTCAGGTGGTCTGATGCCTCACCTCAAAGCACATGCTACAGATTTCAAAGCATGATTTTCATACTTAAATACTGATTTCCAGGAGGGAAAAACAGTCAAGATTAGGTGCAGGACCTGAGGTCTACCCTACTAACCCGCTGGGTGATGTTGGCAAAACACCAAATCTCTCTGACTTTGGGTTCGTTATCTATAAGCCAGGAATAGGCATATCTGCCCTATGGCAGAGCTATTGAGAGGAGTGCATGAGATAATGTGTAGAAAATTGTGTACTATGTAAAGTTTATAAATGTGTTGACGTAAATCTTCCTCGGTCAGATGAGTTTACTGAATGTCTATGAGCCTGGCCCTGGACGAGGTGCTGGAGTTAGAGATTATCAATCCAGGTTTCTTTTCCTCCTAAACCTTATCTGAGGGAGGGAAAGTATCCATGAGTAATTCAAGAGACTTGGACCCAATTTCCTTCCCCTAAAAGAAGCACACCCACCCTCCCTGGTTTGGCTCGGTGGATAGAGCTTCGGCCTGCGGACTGAAGGGTCCCGGGTTCGATTCCGGTCAAGGGCATGTACCTTGGTTGCAGGCACATCCCCAGTGGGGGGTGTGCAGGAGGCAGCTGATCGATGTTTCTCTCTCATTGATGTTTCTAACTCTCTATCCCTCTCCCTTCCTCTGTAAAAAGTCAATAAAATAAAAACAATTTTAAAAAAGAAGCACACCCCACCTCTCCCTCACCCACAAGGTAGAGCTAAGAGCCTTTCCCCTGGGTCCTTGTCCTATTCAGTGTGTCATTCTATCACAGTAAATTTCAACTTTTTCTCTTTCTTCTTCTTTTTCCTTTTTTTTTTTTTTTTGTCAGTGCTTGGATGAATGAGTGGATGGACACACAGATTAAACTAACATAGGTATGTTCCCATCTGGCAGAACACAGGAAATGCAGCTGCTGGGAAACAGAGACGGAAGGAAGAGGCTGGGGACTGCCAGAGGGGGGATTTCACAAAAGTAATCTTCCAGACGGGAAAGAGAACAGCGGTACCATCTCATCCAAAGCATTGCCAGGAAAAGCCTTCAAATATTTGGTTTTTCTATTACTTTCAGGATGTTCATTGTATTTGAAAAAGAAAAGAAAACATTTCCCTCCATTTGGATTTTCAAATGATTTCTGAAACAGAATCAATGACTAAAGGGAAACAATTCACTCTATTTATACCAGCAGGAAAAAACAACAACAACAACACAGGGTTGTTGTTTCCATACAAAAACTATATACCAACAAATTGGGAATCTGAAAGACAACGAATAAATTTCTAGAAACATACAATCTTTCAACACCAAATCAAGAAGAAACAGAAAATCTGAGCAGACCAATTACAACTAATGAAATTGGAGCAATAATAAAAAAAAACTTCCAATACACAGAAGTCCCAGACCAGACAGCTTCACAGGTGAATTTTACCAAACATTTAAAGAGGAACTAACACCTATCCTTCTTAAACTATTCCAAAGTATTCAAGAGGAGGGAAGACTCCCAATCTTATTTTATAAGGCCAGCATTATCCTAATTCCAAAACCAGATAAACACATTACAAAAAAAATAAAATTATAGGCCAATATTCCCGATGAACAAGATGCTAAAATCCTCAACAAAACATTAGCAAACTGAATCGAGCAATACATTAAAAAGATCACACACCATGATCAAGTGGGATTTATTCCTGGGATGCAAGGTTGGCACAATATCCACAAATCAATTAGTGTGACACATCACATAAACAAAATGAAGGATAAAAATCATGTGATCATATCAATAAATGCAGAAAAAGCTTTTGACAAAATCTAGCACCCATTTATGATAAAAACTCTCAGAAAAGTGGAAATAGAGGGAACGTTTTTAAAGGCCACAAGTGACATACCCATAGCTAACATCATATTCAATGAGGAAAAACTAAAAGCAAGATCAAGAACAAGACAGGGATGTCCGCTTTCACCACTCTTATTGAACATAGTACACAGCAATCAGACAAGAAGAAGTAAAAGGCATCCAAATAGGAAAGGAAGAAGTAAAACTGTCATTTGCAGATGATATGATTACTATATAGAGAGAACCCTAAAACTTCCACCAAAAAAACTACTGGAACTGATAAATTCAGTAAAGTAGCAGGATACAAAATAAATATCCCAGAATCAGTTGCTTTTGTTATTGTTATTGTTGTTGTGTTAATCCTCACCCGAGGCTTTTTTTCCATTGATTTTTAGAGAAGAGTGGAAGGAGGAGGAAAGACAGAGAGAAACATCAATGTGAGAGAGATACATGGATGGGTTGTCTCCCGCCTTCAACCAAGTACGTGCCCTTGACTGGAATTGAAACCAGGACCCTTCACTCCGCAGGCCAATGTTCTATCCACTCAGCCAAACCGGCTAGGGCTCAGTTGCATTTTTATACACCAAAATGAATTATCAGGAAAGAAAACTAAAAAAACAATCCTATTTACAACTGCAAATGTGTTGACGTAAATCTTCATCGGTCAGATCAGTTTACTGACAAACAACAACAACAACAAAACATCTAGGAATAAATTTAACCAAGGAGGTAAAAGACCTGTACTAAAAAAAAATATTATAAGACACAGAAAAAAGCAACTGAAAGACACAAATAAATGGAAGCATGTACCCTACTCACAGTGACCTCCAGGCACTGGCCCATAAAATCCTCTATCTTTTTTGCTTTCTGCAATCTGGACACTTGACCTCCAAGGTAACCTTGGAAAATACTGAGCTTTCTTCAGTTTTCAGTCCTTAAAAGATTGTGTGTCACAGAGCCCCTTTAGAACCACACTGCATTGTTCAATATGAGGGCGGGGCGGGGCAAGGAGGGACAAAAACATATAGGGGTGCTAAGCCACTGAAATTGAGAGGCTCATTTATTATAGCAGCCAGCATGAGTGATATGATGATGTGGTGCCCAAATGAGTTCTATGAAGGGTGAGAATTCAGTAGAATGAAAACCAAATGCTACATCTATCCAATAGAGCAGGGTCCTGGAGCAGGCCTCTTAAGGGTGATATGTGGAGGTGGGTATATGCCAGGTACTGAGCAAGGCACTGTAATGCACCTCTATTCAAATGTCCAACACACTGCTTGGCATTGTACACACATGAGATGCTGACCTCACCTCCACCTTTATTTTCCTTCTCCAAACCCAACTCCCTATTCTACATAAAAAACAAGAAGCTGATAAAACAGTGGGGTTAAGGAGGTAAAAACATGCCTTAAAA